TCTAAACACTATGGCAATGAGGGAGGATATCTGAGTAAAAGGGATATACATAAGTTGTGAGAAGCCCATGTTATTGCCAAATGAGTTTACTGGCTATTTGAACCTTAGGTAATTTGGAGTTTGCTGTATTATTATTAACCCTAAATCCATCCATATATTAATTAAGGTAGATTATATCCTGTAGCCAGTGTTTGTCAAAGTGTGTCCCAAAGACTAACATCTGTCTGCAAACTTTTGTCACCAGAAATTGAGAGAAATATTTATCACTAATTTTATAATAATTGAATCTAATACTAAAAGATGAGGGTTGGCATCTCATTTGTTTTTCTAGTAATTATTTTCATTCATTTTTATAGTATTTTACAAAAACACACTGGTTTAGATAGATTGGATATTTTAAAATCTGGCCCTTTTAGAAGCTGACATAATTTCTTTCATTTAATAAATTGAGACCTCATAGTGGCATGACAGTCTGCAAAGTCAAGTAAGGATGCAAGAAGCATTAAAATTTTTATTTTCTTTAAAGCAGAAAGTTGGGAAATTTAATCTCGGTCATTGTTGCCCACCCCTCACCTCCATCCAGGGAGGCTTATATGGGGATGAGAAGATGAAGACACAGTAGCTGCCCACGGCCTCATTGCCTGAAGCCATAGTGGAAGCTTGAACTCGGAGGCTGTCTGTGCCTGTGACACTGGTGGAGCATGGGAATCCTTGCTGAGGCCAGGGTCCTGGGACAAGCCCTCCTTTCTCCCTCTGAGGCTTTGTCACCTTGGAGCCTTGGGCTGCTGCCTTGTGCTGACCAAGGGCCTAGATCGCTCTCACCCTCTGGGCTTTAACCCTCAGATTTAAGACTGGAGGAAAGCTGAGTTGCATCTCTTCAGTGAACTCAGGCTATTAGAAAATAAAGGCTAGAAATACAGTGCTTTCAGGCTGCTTTTGGGTTGACTCCATAACAAACTTCCCTGGAGGCTAGGAAGCTCAAAAATAGCTTAGGGAAACTTTAGGGGAAGAGGTAGTGGGGAAGGGACAGTAAAAGAAACAAATTAATGTCAATAACTTTACAACTCCAAAATGGGGGAATAAGCCCTTCCTTACAGTGTTGCTTGAGGATTGAGTTACTGTTCGTAACATGCACAGCAGAGTGCCTGGCACACAGTAGGTCCATGTATTATTAGTTCCCTGCCTCCCTAAAGGCCCATTGCCTGATTTCCAGATCAGGAAGCCCCGGTTCTCACTCGCTTTTGCCTGTTGGCTCCTCTGTGTCACACACGCGATGTGTGTCTGGATGATTTCATCCAGCTGTGATTGTTCTTACCCTTCTCCTTGTATGGGATAGGCTGTAAGCCAAGGGCACTTCATCTGGTGTCCATGGACCCCAGGCTTCACTTCCATGGGTGGGCTTCAGAGGATCTCTCTTAATTTGGATGTATCATATTTTATTTCTATGCTTTTAATGCATACTCTTACATTTTTTAACTTTTTTTTTTTCCTAGCTAAAACTTCATCAATTAGGCTCATCTGTCCTTCACAGCAGATTCTCATTATTGAATTGGGCCTGGGATTCTGCATTTCTAACACACTCCTAGGTGATGTCCGTGCTGCTGGTCCAATGACCACACTTACAATAGCAAGGCCAGTGAGGCCTCTGACTTTCAGAATGTGCTTCACATTGCCAGGCAACTGCTCTGAGCCTGCCATTTTCTTTTCGAGGGTGTCTAGTCCTCAGAAGCAGCTACCCTACTGCAGAGTCCTTGTAATTATAATCGTTCCCATGCCAAACAGATACTTGGCTTCCCAATGCCTTGATGTCTGTAACCATGGTTGAAGGTTTAAGCAACTGTATACCTGGGGGGTATTACCACCATACTTGGAACCCCTGGTTCCTTCAGATGGGTGGGCAGTCCAACTCCAAATTCTATCTTGAAGGCTGCTTTTTAGTACTGCTTCCAGAGCCAGTGGTTTTAGCAAGAAAACGGAGTCTAAGGCAGGGATTAAAGTGACAAATTTTTATTTGAGAAGTGCAAGCCCAGGGAAGAGAGGGTGAGGAATAAGGGAAGCGAGGTAAGGAAATGTGTGAAGTGACACAAAGTGATGCCCCTGTGTGGATGACCAGTTCTCTCAGAGAGCCACAACGAGACTCAACAGGTGCATGTGCTCAGCTGGCAGCACGTTCCTGGAGGGCTGCAAAAGAGAAATAACTCAGAGTAGTCCCAGGGAGAAAGGGAGGAGGGAATTCTCGCCCAGCTCTTTCCCTTCTCCAGTTTTCCATTGGTCTGATGCCAGATCCCACCCTCTATTGTTCCTCACAGCTAGAAGTGGCAGAAACTCTGGGCATGTAGTTGGTCAGTCTGGCTGCATGGAGGCATCCAAAGAATGGGGTGTGGTGGGGGGAGGTGGGCAGGATACCCAGGGCAAGTGGCTGGCTGGCCCCTCCAATGACCCCATGGACTGGAAGTGGGAAGTACGAAGGGAAGGCAAACATTTTCATGCCAAGGCAAAGAGAGGAAATTACATTCATTGTTGATAGTCTATAGCAATTGACTTTTCCTTTTGTGCCCATATCATTGAAGAACTAGGAAGTGCTTTTTAAGTCTTCATACTTCTGTCTTGCCCCAGTATTGAGCTGCTGGAATAACAAGTGAATACTCATTTATCAGAGGAGACCTGCTACTCTCCACACACATGGAAGACATTGCTAATGATTACTCCCCTCCTTCCCATTGGTTACGTGCTGGTCACTTCTTCCCACTCCTGAAGTTTCCTTGTGTGTGATACTTGTATGTATTAGTATAATATTCCTGGCTTCCCCTGCTCCCTCCCTCACTCAGAGATGAAGAAGTGACTCAGAGATGCAGAAGTAACTTAATCTGATTTGTGAGTCTGGAATGAAAAACCAGGACCTTGAAGTCCCTGGGTGGTACAAATGGTTAATGCACTCGGCTGCTAACCAAAAGGTTGGAGGTTTGATTCCACGCAGTGGTGTCTTAGAAGAAAGCCCTGGCAGTCTTCTTCCAATAGGTCACAGCCCTCAAAACCCTATGGAACACAGTTCTGCTCTGACACACATGAAGTTGCCAGATTGGAATCCATTCAGTGGCAACTGGCGGTGGTGGTCTACTGCCTTGTTTCTTGCTATCAGGGTTCTGTTCTTGGGGGAGCACACCCCTTCTTTCTGCTTTTCCTGCCGTTAGTCTCTGTTTACAGAGGTAGCCTCCCCACCTTCCCTCCAACACACACCCTTTTCCTTTTTTCTCAACTGGTTGATCATCCAGGAGAAGAAAGATGCTATTACTTGGGCTCTAGCCAAGGTGCCAGCAGCACAGAACCTGCCCCTAAGTAGTGCCACAGCCACAGTCAGGGCGTCATCAGGTGAGATCAAGCCTGTTGAGAGTCCTGACACCTGCAGCCACAGTCTGTCTTTGGCACATGCTGCTACTGAGAGCCATCCAGTATAGTGGTTATGAGCCATCCAGTATAGCGGTTATGAGCCATACAGTATAGTGTTATGAGCCATACAGTATAGTGGTTATGAGCCATGTAGTACAGTGATTATGAGCATAGGCCCAAGGGGTGTCAGGCACGGGTATAAGTTCTGTCATATTCCTTAAGAACTGTGTGACCTTGCCAAGTTACTAAATCTCTTGAGACCTCAGTTTTCTTACTTGCAAAATGAGGATACTGATATCTAGTTCGTGGTGTGGTTTGTAGGAATTAAATAAGATAATATAGGCAGAGTACTTAGAAAGTGTTCAATAATGATAGTTACTGTTACCATGATCTATTAAGTTTTGAAAGAGGTTAAAAATAAGCCTGATTCTCCTTCTGTATAGGGCCCTTGCCATTTTCAGATATAATGGGTAGGCCCATGGTGTTGTGGATAATTCTATCATTTCATGCTTAAGGAACCTCTGAGGCTACCTCTAGTTCTTATTTTATGAGTGTGGACTGCTTTTCTCTCTTTTCCATCAGCATCAATTTCATTTTCAGAGTGGATACAGAGGAAGGGATAGTCAGGTATATTTTCCTTCGGACCTGGATCTTGCCGCTTCCCTGTCTTTTGAACGATGTGGTTTTCAAATCAGGGCTGCTGATACCCTCTTTCCTCAGAATGATGTGACTTCATAAACCCCCTCGTGTGTAAAGCCAAACTGAAGTATAGAGGCTTTGGACTCAGTGTGTGAGAAGCCTCAGAAAAAGAAAAAAAAAATCACGCTTCATTAACAAGAGGAATGGCTTTGGAAAAAAATCTGTACAGTACACAACATGTTAGTACATTTCCAAGAAATGGTTGCAAATTAGTCAAATCAAGTTGCAGATGTAGTCAGGAAATTCTCAAATGATTTTGAGTTTCCCATAAAAGATTTTTGTGATTAAATCAAATGACTTATACCCAGTGTTTCAAAAGCACAGTGGTGCCAGTCCCTCCTCAAGTCACTTTGAATTGAAATTTCTACGATGCCATTCATGGCTTTCCTGTTGAATTATGAAGTGTTTGTGTTTGTTGTGTAAGTCGTTGGGAGTCAGGGGTAGAATCAAATTCCAGAAAAATACCACCACAATCACAGTCTGAGAACACCAGTAACCTTCCTCTTTGCTCGAGGAAGGCTTTCTTCCCTTGTGGTTGATGTGCTTTGTTTTTTTAATAGCTTCCAATGCTCTGGTATTAAAGGGAATTCCTGCTGAGGCCCCTGTAATATGAATATCACATATGCTGTAGGTTTTGTCCGTTCTAACTTTAAAAAAGATAAATCTAAAGACAATGCTGTTGCTGCTGTTGCCAAGTTATAATCACTATAACGTGTCTTTGGGGGCAATAATTCATCCCCAGTATTTTCACCAAAGAGAGGCATTTAAGATTATTCTTTCTGGTCCGTTCCTGAAGATTGTTGTCACATCATTTATTATTGTTATGATTGTTACATTCCTAAGCTGTGGTTGCTGTGTGGAAAGGCAGATTTTCCTATACTTTGCTTAAAATATTGTTTATGTTTTTTTACTAGGTGGCTGTACTACAATCCCAGAATCAGACCTAGAGGAAAGATCAGTAGAACAAGACTCCACAGAGCTGTTTGCCAACCACAGGCACCTCCTTGCAGAGACGCCCATGCCTGGTAAGAGAACGGGTGGCCGTCACAAATGATAGGTCAGTAACAGCGACACTTGGGTCAGTTTTTTAAGTACCAGAGAGCATTTTGCAAAGCTGCTTGTTTTACTTCTTCATCCTTCCCCTCAGCATTGGTGCAGCTGAATTTGATCATTTGTGTATTCTTTTCATTATTAAGCCTTTCTTCTCTCTTTTTTTTCCTTCTTCTCTCTCTTCTTTGCCAGAAGCTTCATCCCTCCATGGAGTCTCGGATTAGTTCAAGAAGAGTTGTCTGGATGAGCGGAAGATGCCCTTCCCAAGGCTGACGCTGTGTGGACCTCATGCCAAGCACAGATGTAGGGCTGGCCCAGGTGCTCCATCCAGCTTGCCTTCCTGGAGATGACACTAGAGATGGGGAGCAGAACTTTTTATTTTTCTAGGAGGACGTATAATGCCATAAGCAAGTCAGTAGAAACTTGTCTGACCAGGAAAAGATGTTACTGCCTTTTGGTCAGATGAATGCTGACATTCAGAGGATATAGTGAGATAACATAGTTTGGGACAGACTTTACAATGCAGAGACCCAAATAATTTGATACCCCATTTTTCACAGAATTCTTATATATAGTAAATGTATCAAGTTTAATAAAGCATCTAATTGGCAATCAATATCTTGATTTTCATTTATAATCATATAGGTGATTTCTCTACAATATTTTTTCACCAAAGGAAAAAAATTGAAAACTTTGTCACTCCACAGTAAGACTTGAATGTAATTATTTTATAAAATGAAAAAACATAGAACTTTCACATGATTTACGCTATTAGGCTAAAAGTGGAAGAAGGTAAGTTTTCTAGTATTGTATGAGTATGTTAAAATATTTTCAAGGAAGCTAGTACATGAGCATCCTCTTTTGAATACTCCAGTGGGTGACACCTTTTAAAAATTCAGGTTATAAAGGATTCACACCTTATTACAATGAAAACAGAAGGTTTTTGCATGCAGAAAATCAGAACTTTTTTTTTCTTTTTTGTTTATTGTTCTAGTTTAAGCGAAAGTTTACAATTCAAGTAAGTCTTTAATATGAAAATTTATACATGCATTGTTATGTGACCCTAATTGCTCTCCCTATACTGTGATAGCGCACTCCTCCTTTCCACCCCAATATCCCATGTACATTCAACCAGCTCCTAACCCTCTCTGCTTTCTCATCTCATCTCCAGACAGAAGCTGCCCATTTAGTCTCGTGTGTCTACTTGAGCTAAGAAGCATACTCTTAACAAGTATCAATTTATGTCCCACAGTCCAGTCCAATCTTTGTCTGAAGAGTTGGCCTTGGAAATTGTTTTAGTTCTAGACTGACAGAGAGTCCGGGGGCCATGCTTTCTGGGGTTCCTCCAGTCTCAGTCCGACCATTAAGTCTGGTCTTCTTACTAGACTTTGAGTTCTGCAGCCCACCTTTCTCCTGCTCCATCAGGGACTCTCTGTTGTGTTTCCAGTAAGGGTGGTCATTGGTGGTAGCCGGGCACCATCTAGTTCTTCTGGTCTCAGGCTGATGAAGTTTCTGGTTTATGTGGCCCTTTCTGTCTCTTGGGCTAATACTTTCCTCGTGTCTTTGGTGTTCTTCATTTTCCTTTACTCCAGGTGGTTGGGACCAATTGATGCATCTTAGATGGCTGCTTGCAAGCTTTTAAGACTCCAGACACCACTCACCAAAGTAGGATGCAGAACATTTTCTTAATAAGCTATTATGCCAGTTGACCTATATGTCCCCTGAAAGCATGGTCCCCAGACCCCCACCCCTGCTAGACCCCCACCCTTGTTAGACCCCCACCCCCTCCAAGTGTTTGATTGTATTCAGGAAACTTCTTAGCTTTAGTTTAGTCCAGTTGTGCTGACTTCCTCTGTAGTGTGTGTTGTCCTTCCCTACACCTAAGATAATTCTTGTCTACTGTCTAGTTAGTGAATAACCCTC